TGTTTGAAACTACTGCCTTTGGAGGGTTTGCGCAACTGCCATATAGCGCTGCTAATTTAAAAAAAAATTGGTTCCAATTTCAAGAAAATTTGAAAATTCTAATTTAAAAAGAAAACTAATTTTAAAAAAAATCGGAAGGCTGACTTTCCCAGTGGGACAGCCAATTCTTCCATGATTTCGCATATTGATAAAATAAAATTGTTGTGCGTTAGCTAACCGTCATCACGTGCTAGCAAGCAAGTCATGGACGAGAAAAGCATTGATAGCTTTGTCACTAGATGGTTGCTGTTGACATTCCGTTATCGTTCAGGTTATTTCTGAATGCCTCCGTTTATGTAGAAGATTTGCAAGAACTGATCTATAGAGAGGCTTTGAATCTTGAAAATGTATGTCCGCTATAAAGCTAATTAGGGATCTGGTTTCTCTATTAAGAAATCCCCTTTCTCCTGTCCCTTTTTTCTCTCTTCCTCCCCACTTTGGTTTTCCAGAGGAAACTGATTAATAAGTACCTTGAATAAGTATCTTTCTAAAAAGCGGTTTCTTACATGAATTTATTTCGTAAACTCAGGTAGAGAGAAAAGATTTTTCGTCTCCTGATATTATGTAACTCATTAACGCACTTTTCTCAATGGAGTCATTCAGGCCGAAGCTGTTGGTCCTCCGCTGCACTGTGGAGTTACCATTCTTAACAAAAAAATATGGCCTCCGACCGATGATAAATTAATGCCCGCATGTAGTCGTAACGGTTGTGGTGAATAGGCAGATGATAAATGACTGTTAAAGAAACTATCCGTGAGTGTTTGTTGTGAGGGGCAATACGCACTAAAGTTTTTTTCTCTAAACTGACTACTGACTGCATCTAAATAGATGAACCGTGCGCAATTATTGCTCATCATCAAAAACTGATATCATGCCTGAAATGCAAAAGGCATCTTGATTAAATCTAGTTTTTCGCAATCAAAACCGAGGAAATACTGAGAGGTGCAGCGCACCTGAAATAAGAAAACCAACGAATAGTAGCACTTTCAAATGTAAAACATCTGAAAGATTAAGAAAAGCAAGAAAAAAGTAAAATGGAAAAAGACAAGCAGGCGTAAAAATTTAAAAAGAATAAATGCCAAGAAAATTTTAAAAAAATAAAGCAGTGAAATTCTCACCGGTCTATAAACCTTTAAGTCAGCTGTCCTTTTTTACTAATTGTGGCACCACGCTTTCTGAAATACACCTGAGAGCTTGGCCATATAATGCAGGAAATTGATGAGTTGCAGGTCAAAATATGGTTCCAAAACCGACGCATGAAAGAGAAGAAACGACAGAAGGAGCAGGCGTTTTTAGCACGCGGTGGAAATGCAACGGTACCTTGCGAGGTCCCGCAGCAGCAACAAGCGATCAGCCGAGACGCTAACGCTTGGTCTTCCGAATCACCCTCCAGCACGCCAAATGATTCCCCGAAGCTGATTGCACCACCTCCTGCGGTTCAATTGCATTAAAATGAAAAGTATACTATTTCTGGAGCAACATTTTTGTTACTAGTGCTGTTTCAAAAAACAGTGGGGGTGTCCGGTGGCAGTTATGCTGCTGGAATGCATCTGCACATCAAATGCAACTGTGCAGCCGCATTCCCAGGCCGGGTTTTGTTTGTTCGTTATCACTACCCTGCGGCCAGTTCGATGTATATGCATAGCCTTTTCGAACAACTTTCGAGCAATCATTTATTCTCTCACGAGTACTTCCTACTAAAGCGTGACGTGTGGGTCAGTTTTTAGCAACACTGGCGATATTTCTTGTCGGCCAAAAATTTTGCTTTACCGCGTAGTTGCGTGAAGTTCCACGCGCAGCTGACCTGACGTAAAATCTCTTACTTGTCTATGTTCACGAATAAGACACTGCATTTCTTTCTTTGCTCCAGTTCTGTTTTCGTCAGTGACTACGTTTCGCATTCATATGCCATTCATTATTTTCACTGCA